TAGACAGACCGTAAACCAATTTTGAAAAAAAAACATTATTTCATTGCAAAACTACTTTACGCCGGGCACAGAAACAAGTTTAAAACAATTTGTAAGGCTTCTTTCTTTTATTTCTATTTTAGAATGGGAAACTCCTTTCTACAATAGTTTACCGAGGGGAGGAATTTCTTTTACCATACTTAGAAACGTTAGTATGGTTTTCATTAAAATCGCACCAATTACAAAACTTATAAGGAAAAGGAATTAAATCGTTTTTACGGGTTACCTCGTTTCGTTGCTAAGGTAAAAATATACGTATTTTAGGGTAAAAGAGTAACAAATGTTTGTGGTACATTCTAAGGAATCTCCTTAGAATGTACTTAGATTTTTTTTGATGTTTTTAATAATACCTACGTGTTTATGGACAAAGGTGCAAGGTAAGCCTGCCGTAATCCGCGCCAATGCTACAAAAGAATCTCCTATTCTTTAAGAGGTTCTTCTAAGTACTCCTAAAGAGGTTTATATATTGAATATTCACACAAATATAGAACAGATTATACGATGAAATACCTGTATTTCGTCGTATTATCGAAAATATCGAAAATACTTTGTTAAAATACGATATAACCACATACAGGGCGCGACCCCGAGATGACACACCACCTGCCGGGCCAAATGTCAATTGAAATAGCATAAAATTGGTTCAGATCTTAGGAGTTCAGAAATACACACAAGTGCCAAGGATTGTGAATTAAAACTACTATGGTATTAAATAACTCAAATAAGGTTTTTTTTTAAACTGCGATTAAATAAACATACACGCTAAGTGATGCGGCAGCGGATTTCAGTTTTATATATCCGTCACGCAACACCATAACCGAGGTGCAAAATTAATAAAGAAATACTAGGATAATCGTCGCTAGTAAAATGAAATATGATAATGCAAACTAGACTAAACGTGAGTCCCTAGACAACCAGCTAGGTTATTCTAGGAAATTGATTTAATAATTGAATTAGGTATTTACCTTTTATGTTGAAATATGTAACTGAATCTTAATAGTACCTAGTGTCGGAATCACAGATGTATTTGGTCGGAATTATAATACCAAAGCAAAGTCCAATCAAAGCATATGTAGGTAGTTCAAAGGCATCGTCTAGACATCTTTGAATATTTAGTTTGTAAATATGACCTTCAAAAGCGTTCATGTTCTGGCTTAAAATGTTATCAATACCTACACTTTAAAATCGAGACCCGTTTCAAAATTCAGATTAAAGACTTGATTCTCCGAATATTCTTCTAAGTCGACTGCAACACTGCATTTTTCCGGTAATTTACGCCTGACAAAATTCCGTGTATGCCGTAATAGCTGGAAATATGTCTTTGTTGTATTATAGGCAAATGTGCAGGGAGTGTCAGCAACAGCATTTTTGTCTGTTGCCGTAAATGATGAGAGCTAATCCACTTAGCTGCGTGGAAAACTCTCGACTCTCAACCGACACACGTGTTGAACTACGGACTTTTTAAACTAATTATTAACTTTTAGCGTTCATTTTCCACACATGTAACTAGGAAACTATGAAATAGGAACTCGGGATATGATACTAGGAAACTATATTCGTAGTTTTAAAGCGCAGGCAGCAAAAATATGTTGCCTTTTTAAATGTTCATGTAAATTATGACTCCCTGTAGTTTGTGCCAACCACTTGGGAGAAGGGTTTATGTACGTATGTATGTATGTCAGAACCTACAGCGTGATTAAATAGGTACATTGTGTAGTTCGACAACTAGCTAGCATCATATATGCACACGTCAATTAGAAATGAATCAATCGGTCGGGACAAACATTGGCTCTACCTGACCGTGTTTACAATACAAAGTGACTGATATGAGGACAACAATCTGCGTTCGGACTGTGTAGGTGTGTTCTTTTAAACATAGGCAATTAGACATCGTTAAAAAATCATTATCAGACTTCACATAAAAATATTTTTTATTTGTTAAGTTTAGTAATGTTGGATTTTAGGTGCGACTAACGAGTGAAGAGAGACTTCAGTTAAAGCTGTTTTAACAAATGATTATGAACAACAAAACATGTTATGTTGTATCATATTCGTCAATATCAAAAGTAGAAATTCTAGTGAACTTAACTTTATAACACAGCTGAAATCAACACAATCGTTTATTTTTCGTGAGCCCTTAATAGATTTGAGAGTCAATCAAAAGCTGTCGAAAAATGACAATACAAGGCAATCAGTATTCGAACAGACTTTTCAATATGCACTGTGTGTCATAGTGTATTTTTAATTAACTTCCATATTTACATCACGCATGGGACTATTGGGAATTCTATTAAAATTATATTACGGACTGTAGAGTATTGCACTGTCCTTCCCCAATTGTTCTATAAAATGAAGTTATTGACACTGGTAAAATCAATTTGCGTGTATACGTGGCCGTTTGTATATGGTAAAATTATTGCGTAGATCATTATATTAGACCACATATCAGAATTATTGATTGAAACTGCATAATATTTTTAGTTTGGTATAACGTTGTTAGAGGACAGCGGAGTGGCGTAGTTAGAAATTCACACGAATAATAACTAACAAAAAGACACTGTACCTTACAGTTGGCATGCACGTTAGGCACGCATGGACAATTGCTGCAGCACCGCTGGATCAGTAACATAAATGGATCTGAGAAGTGTGAGAATGAGAAGTGGATTCTAAGCTCGAGGTCAGTAAATGATACTTAGCACGTGCTTTGCTTTTTAGTGTCTCTCATCAACGGGTGCTTCTTTGGTAAATCAAAACCTTCCTTCAATCCTCAATCAATAAAAAACTTCCTCAAGGAAAAATTTAAAAATCTCTCATAGAAATTTCCAAAACTTAAACCTTGTCACGGTTCTCAAGCAATCCGATAACAATATCGATGATTGTGACGAGAATTGTTAAAGGATTGTTAAACAAACAAACGCAATTTCCCAAAACCTACAGCACCGATTACACCAACAGGTTAGGGTAAATGAAAGCCTAATTTTGACAAAGCATGTGCTTAAACTGCCTTTTATTCACCTCGGTTGGACCATAATTTTGGGAACCTTAGCTATTCTTATAAGACTGATAAAAAAAAATTATCTTATTACATTAAAAATACTGATGTTTCTACGATATTTTTTTCTCATCATGGCATTTCTAGTACCTCATGAACAAGTAAGTATAATCAATTTGAAACTTGAAACATTAACTTTTTCTTTGATATATCCGAGACTTACGTCTTTAGGTATAGAAATATTCCCTTTTAATATCGAACTTCCTATTTCTGAGTAAGAAGAAGAAAAGTAATCTTGCCTAGTTTCTTTTTCGGATAAAATTTTAATTTGTATCTCTTAATATTTCAAGAGTTCGATGTTTACGATCTGTTTATTGATGTGATGGAAAAAAATCTGATTGAGTTTGAAAAAGTAATTTCTTAGGACGGTAAATTCATAATTAGCGACCATTCGATCGCTATTCGTCTCGTAAACAATTTTTAGTGTCTTTAATTTGAAATGAAGGCAATAAACATGATATTATTTTTTAAGTGTTAAATGCCTTTAATGTATTTGCGTAAATATATCGAGATCAATATATGCAGGTCCATAAGTAAATGTTTGTATGGCTGTCCCGATGTCGATAGTCCCAACAAAGGATGAGATAATTGAGCAGTGGAGCAGTAATGACAATGATGAAACATTTACATACTAAGTACACCGCACACCTACCGTTATTAATTTGTGTATTTAATAGGAAATGCGACCAGTCACTGACCAATTATATTCAGTACAATTTATAGATATTAATTATCAGCCCCTAAACGTAAAATTAATAATGCAAATAGACGTCTATGTGTGTATTGTGTATCACACACGTCAATTTTTGTGAAATTGAGCGTTGATCATCATTTATATTAAGTACTAAAACCTTTTTGCGAGTAGTTAATGCTAAATTATTTATGAAAATGATTTGACTTGTATGTCTGTATAGAAACTTTATTCGCTTCTCCCCAAGCTACTTGGGGTCAGCCCAATACGTCTTCTTTTTCCTTTTTCCACTATCAGATGTCATCCTATCACTCCTTTCCCTTTCATATCATTCTTCATACAATCGAGCCAACATATTTTCTATCCTTCAAATTAAAATTCAGTATTCGCTTTTTTACATGACTTTCATCCGTTATCACATGAACGACCACCTTTCAGCTTATCTATCTGGCTGGCGTCACATTCAAACATTTTCAACGTTTCTATACAGAATACAAGTATAAAAACTAGGATTATGAGACTACAAAAAGAATTTGTATTGCCAATCGACCGTATATATTTTATTCAATGCCAGTCAATTTATCTATTAAGTGTGAAATGTTAGTTTAGTGTTGACTGCTCTTTTTGTAGTAACTTTGTAGGGATATCTTTTCAGGTACAGATATGAATTTCGATGACGTAGACTCCTTGCTCCCCTTTGAAGAGTTCCTAGAAATATATGTATCTAGGATAGAAGGACCAGAAATGTTTTTATTTAAAATAAAAAGTAGCTATGTTACTCTGTTATTGTTTAATGTGTATATCATTGTTTTCTACCAAAATGTATTTGTTTTAATGTTTTCCCTTCGATCAACTTGTTGATCGAAGTGTTTTCCAAATAATTATGACTTGTAAAACATTTCATGGTGACATTTCATATTTTCGTAGTATTTGCTGTATTATCCTTCTTTCCTAGAAAATACAACCCTGATATTCAAAATACCAAAGGTTTCAATTTTCTCTTTAATTAAAATGTTGCAGAGGAATTAGTAATTACATTACATGAATTTCAGGGTTGCTATGGAATCATACTGGAGTATTGGTTTCAACAAATTTGGTAACTGTATGCCAGCAATGGTGATACCAACACCTCTAGTAAGAATTCCAGATCTTAATCTATCCACAAACCTTTTGCAGGCCGCTTACCAGCTGAGAGACATACACCTGGAATGTACTTACGGTTACATAGTTAGCATTGATGTAGTCCCTCTCACAACGCTTCAGCACAACTCTGGTGTGGTCGAAGGGGTTCACGTCGCGGTAGCGGTTCAATGGCTTGTTCTGAGCTTTCTTGGCTTCGTTCAAGGTGTAGCCATAACGTTGGCATTCCAGCCCGATCTTCTGTTGGTTGAAATTATTATTATAAGTATTTTTGTTTTACTTAAATTTGTGACATGGATTGAGAAGTGTCACAATGGAGTTTCTTGCCTTTTGCAGTGGAACAAGCAAGGGCAGAACTGTAAGATGAACATATTTTTGCTTTTTGTTTGACATTGGAAAGCAACTCTTTGTCCTATTCTACCTACTACTTTGGTTGAATTATTGCCCAATACTACGAGTTTTATTGGAAACATTTAGGTATTAAAATAAATGATTCAACTCTATGCAAGTGGTTTTAGCATGGTGTAATATGGGTGTTTTAGTAGATTCCAATAAAAAAATACTTTTTAAACTTACAAAAATCCTATTAGACACATTTTTGTTTAGTACCAAATATGAATTTAGTACATGGTATGAAAAGTTATGGGATCGAAGTTTGAAGGAGGGGATAAACGCTTAGCAACTAGGGGGGGGGGGCGACCTCTAGGTCTCAAAGGGTAATTAATTGTATGACAAGGGCACGGACCAAGAGTCCATGGAGAAATAATATGTAACATTATAAAAAAAAGGAACCTACGCCTTTTCTATCACGTAAAACAATGCCACATTTATGTATTTTACCAAAATGACATAGGAATACAACTCCGATATGCATAGACTTATAAATGTATGGATTTCTGTAATTTTATACTAAAGAGTACTAATTACAAATTTAGGACTTGTTTTGTAATGTCACATTAAGTATTGGTTAATAAAGCTGGTGGTTAATTAAAAAACACTTGTGTCAAAACATTTGTCAGGTATGCTAGCAGCCATTAAGTCGGTGTGAAATGGGCTCTCAATAGCATGAATTACAGAAGTAGTTCTAGGTCTTATAGATACTTAGTTATTGGATGGTTGGATGGTTAATTAAAGAAACAATTAGTTGCGGTCACCGGTGTCCTCGTGGTGTTTGACAGTTTAAGTAGGTATTTATAGTTTGTCTTTAGTGTGTTCAAAGTTACAGGTTCTGCTAGTATGAACATTGAAAGTAATATAGTTTCAATTTTAAGGGATCAAGTTATCCCAATTTTAAATCATACAAAGCATATTCTCATTAATTTTCATATAGCAAGGCTTCTTCTATCTGTTTTCTTTTGTTTTTATATTTTAATTTTAAAGTGATTAACGATAATAAGTTGGAAAAATCATCATTAAATTCCAATAGTAATTGTTTGCAGGGTACCCAATATTTTCATAAATTTTGATTTTTTTCTATAGCCTCGTTCAAAGTATTTGAGTATTTTAAATCAAAATAATGTAGGCTTAATTTTTATTATTTAAAAGCTAAGGCCTAGTTGCTTTTGAAATATAAATTTTGTCTCATATGAATAAGATGCCTAGTGATAAATAGTAAGTCATTGTAATAAGATCTTATGAATTATTTATGATGTCTGCAAACCAATGATATTAACTTTTTTAATGTCTACCTCCTGATACAAACAGTTGCTGACAGCAGAATGATTAATCACATACAGCAATTTTGTTGTATAGAGAAAAGACACCTTCAGGTACTCCTGTCTCCAGCAGCTCACCAGCCAAGGAACCTACAATTCTAGAAACCATCAAAAACTAGTCATCAGCATCATACTGCTTCTCAGCAACACCATGTCTCCTTTCTCCAGACGGAACACAAAAATAATCACAGAAAAAACAAAATCTTAAGAAAACCAAAAGTGAACCAAAACAAAAAATAAACAAAATATAAAATAGCAAATGCAACAATTTCTATGCCACGGCTAAAATACGCTAGCGAAAACCATTACTTTCCCAAATGGGGACCAAAAACGTTGAAAGTTTCATCAAATCGCGACTCGGAATAAGTTGTAGTTGTAAGTTTTTAGCGCGTGGCACAGACATACCGCGTCCCACCTACGCTCGTACCTGATAGACCAGGGCCCAAGCATTCCTGGACACGATGTCCAAGTACTCCTCCTCAACTTTGTTGGTGTACACGTTGTTTTGACTCATTGTTCAAGTTGTTTCCTTCTTTCGCTCACTCTTCGAAGTATTGTTTGGGTATCGAATACCGCAAACTGTTCAAGTTTGGAAGTTATTAACAGTTATAACAAGTGATAGATATGTTGTGAATACAGGATATGCCCGGAGCAGGTGTTATGCCAAACTTATTTCAACCCGTAATAACTGTTCCAGCGACGAAATCAGAATGATTTAGATTTGGATAGCGGCCTTCGCTTCAACATGAGTGCACCGCTGTCGGGTTTAGTGTTGTCAGTTTTGTTTACAAAATCACTGCCTCCGTCCAAACCTACCACGGTAGATTTGGTATGTCAAATTTACGCGCTGAATTCAAATTCTCATACATTAGTCCTAACCTAAATCTTGAATTTGTTTAAGAAATATTTTTTTTAAAGTGTAATGTACCATAATAATGTCTTGTAAGACTATACTGCGATTTTATATGCACTGAAACATTAATATTATTACTTTTTTCGGACAGCCGTAACTTGGATCATTTATTTTTTGTCATGATTTAAAGTAGTTTTTATATACTTAATTGAAATGTCTAGCGTTACCATAATACATAATTTCGTAATAAATCCCAAAATAAATATTAATCTACTTATATGAGTGATTTTATAACAGCGGCAACCCTGACGTTTTCTTGAAATAGTTTGTGAGACTCATCAAAGATGTCTCTAAAACGAAATACTTTCACTTCAAAAATTGTCGCACGAGTGTGTTTTCAGTCTATATAATTATGATAACCGCATCCGATGCCTGGCACTAGGCAGTAGTCAGATGTGAAAAATGTGGAAGGTCGAGCTCAGTGGAGTGCCAAATAAATGCCTATGTCCAGGTTTAGGCTAACGAAGTCGCGGGCACTGCTAGTTTCACAATAAATATAACTTAAGTACTGAATCGATTCTGATGAAATTTGTAACACAGCATTGGAAACTTGGAAAATATTAAGAAAAAAATGAAAATTCTGCTAGAAGTCACTAATTTACACGGCAACGTCGCGGGGAACTGCTGTAATATAATAGGTATTTTGAAGTCGTTTAAACAAAAAAGGAGATAAGCTCACATTCGATACGATATGGAGGGAAACAAATCTCTACAGCATCATTGACACCTTGCTTGACTCTGATGACTAAAACTAAGTACCTACCTACGAAATAAAATTGGGATTAAATCCTTAAGAATAAAATACCACAACCGCAATTAATAATAAAAACGAATAAATAATGTAATATCTAGCCTTTGACAAACAGAAGGACGAACAATTCAATTTTTGACGTTTCAAAAAGGTTATTAAATTGAAAGTAATATTAATATTATAAATGTAAATAACCAAAAACTAAAATATTTACACCCTAATTGCGGTCACCGGTGACCGCTCGGTGTTTGACAGTTTAATGAGCACATAATTATCGACTATACTGAAAAAAAAAAATTACTCGCGCTCAGAGTTCAGAGCATTTTCGATTTCTGTATTGGACATCTTCACATTGGCCCAGACGGAATATAACTATTCAATCCAATGTTGGCATGAACGTTGGGCCAACGTGTAGTCTAAATAAACAATATAAAACATTGAAATGAATTCTCTGACATACACATTGATACTGATATGATGGTTATTAATATATCTAATTAAAAAGGTCTAAAGGTTATTATTATATTCTAGACTGAAAAAATTAAATCTTTTGTTAGAAGTATAGACAAAAAAAACATCATCATCATCACATGACGGGAAAATTTAATCTGTGATTCAAGAAATAAAAAAGTCAAGATAGCGGGAACTTGGAAGTTATTGGCGTTTTTTGGGTTTATGGAATTTAAATTTATTTTTAAGCTAATTTCTTTAAACCTTGTATTATTGTTGTTTTTCTTTCCAATTAATAGCTATGGTTTAGCCAGTCCTGAATTTGTACTAATAATACTATTTATTATTTTCTTCCAGTTGGAATCACAATACTTACATTAATCTGAATAAGAGCATCACTCTCATAAAATTGGACTGCTCACGATAAGATGGTGGCGTGACAAGACCAAAAATAAAAAAAAGAAGATGCTATACTTAACCTTAACCTTCATTGGCAATTCTGGGTGCTTGTGGAGTATTTCTTTTGGCTTTATTCTTTGAATTTCAGGTGTTGGATTAGAAATAGTAGATACATAATCAAATGATTGTCTAACCTCTTGTCTGTCGATATAATCGAGACACAAAGAAACGTGTCTCGCGTTTATCTACGTACCGACACTTCACAGGTTACGTTACATAAAAGCAGGTAATTATACGATAAGGTCGATGTGCGTATGTTTTTACTCCTTTTATTAAACTAATGTACATTATTAATTGTTAAAAACATTATATGTTAACTCCTCGACATGGGAGAAAATCTTAATACTTTGCAAAATCAAATAGTAGGTACCTACATAAAATCTATCGGTTGTATCGTTGTAGATATCGCTGTGTCGGCCTGCATAATTTTGTATTTGTTTGTCTAGGTTTGGTGACACTACACAGATCTCACACATCGAAAATATGTGATAAAATGTCATTAAAGTAAATGTAAAAAAATGAATCCCAAAAAAATGGGTTTCAAACATGAATTGCGTAATGGTTTCTTTGGTTGGCTTAAAAAGATAAATCAACTAGTCTATGTATGCCAAGTGGACGTCTGAAAAATTTTGACGTTTTGTCAATTTGTGCACTGTTTGCGTGTAATAAGTACCTACTTTGTGCATAACTGCATTTATTTGAAATTAAACACTACCACTACAATTAATTACTGAAAAATGGCTTCACCAAGAACCCGCAGGAAGCTTAACTCTATCCGAAATATCGACGATAATAACGTAAGTCACTGTTTATTTAAAATTGGTGTCCGTATGCTACGAATACGAGCATGATATTCAAAATTTTTATATTTCTCTTTACAGAAATGTTTCGAGTGTGGTACATTGAATCCGCAATGGGTCTCTGTTACGTATGGCATCTGGATTTGCTTAGAATGCTCGGGGGTGCACCGCAGTCTAGGAGTTCACCTTTCATTTGTTCGAAGTGTCACCATGGATAAATGGAAGGACTTGGAGTTGGAGAAAATGATGGTAAGACTCTTTGTATCTTTATTTGTTAGTTGGCAAGGAACTAATGTTAAACATAGCAGAGTTATGACAGATCATACTAAAACGCAGACTAGTTTAGAAAACAGCATAATAGCTGCGATCTATATAGTTTTCAAGATCCTAGATGTAAAGTAGAGCTCGTTCAGTAACATAAATATCATTGTGCAAATATCAATAAATCAATATAACCTTGTCTGAGTTAGGAAAATTGATTTGTTCAAATGAGATGTGACAAGTTATTTTTTGTGTTGCATTTTGTTGGGACTCATTTTTATATAATAAGGATATTATATAATTTATAGATACTAATTAGAGATACACATAAATATACACAGTGAATAAATATCAATCTTCATACTACTAATTCCACTAAAATGGCAAAGGTCATCTGTTATAAGCTTTCATTCATAAGAAATAATGAATGCAAAAATAAGTATTCCTGTGATGTTTTATTAACCTAGTGAACTTTATTTTAACAAGATTGGAAATATGAGAACACCAATTAATAACTACATAATTGATGACATTTTTTTTATTTATTCTCTTAACCATGTCTTATATTAGTCAAGAATTCTTTGATTGTATATATTTTGGATTGTTTGTCTGTGGTTTCAACTCCCTATTTAAGCAGTCTATTAAGTAAATATGTCTATTAAACTGTCAAACACCAAGTGGTCACCGGTGACCGCAACCTATTGTTCTATAATTGTGTCTACAAAACCGGTACTCGACGAGTTAATTGGACGCAGAAGTAGAGCCAGAATAATAGCTGGTACGTTACCAGCTTTTACAAAGTAACAACGTATAATGTAATTCTCTCCAGTTCCTTCTGGGCAAAGGTCGTCTCTTACAGTCATTTTTCCAGTCACCATCTGAGATAGGTCATCTTCATTTTATTTATTTAATTGACATATTTTACTTGTACTTGAACTTAATGTGTATACTTGTATAGTAGCATTCACTGCCGGTCAACAGAAAATATATATCTATGTCACTTTCCCACAAAGATACAATATTGTATGACTAGGGCATGGACGAAGAGTCCATGGCAAATTAATATTGAATATTAAAAAACCCACAAAGATTTTATGTACTACTGTTTAGTACTAAAATTCTATTATTACTCTAATTACAATCTTTAATCAGACAGTATTTTTGTGTATTGGAATTTTTTTTCATTAAACTGTCAAATACCAAGCGGTCACCGGTGACCGCAACCTATTGTTCTATAATTGTGTCTGCAAAACCGGTACTCGACGAGTTAAAACAACCTCAACTCTATGTTTGCAAGTAGTACTAGAAGTTTGATACAGATGGCACTGCTGGTTTTGGGTTTGAATCTTAAAATTATTTGTCTCTAAATTAGAGAAGATTGAAGTTTAGTAGGATTTATATTGTAATATTTTTATTTTTACAACTGTGAAAATTATATCCTGCGTTTATTGGCAAAATAGTTGTAGTTAATAAGTGGTAGATTAAAGCTCTGATCCTACTCTTTTAATATTTTGTTTGTTATTCCTTTACCACATTATATTTTATTAAAGTTATTGCTATGCGTTGACACTTCTGCCTGTGCTTTTTTCTTGTACTGTATTTTACTTTTCTTGAATACTGTTATGCATTCCATGATTAACATAATTTCAACTTCTATAGGATACTTAAATGATGATAGGATAATTAAAGTACATTTTATCCTTCAACTTTTCTACTCAATGATACACGTCAAGGAATTTGTGACTGCATTGACTTGGATAAACAGTTGAAAAAATATTGAAGAATGTCTATTCTTCTATGTTTTTTGGAATGATTGAACTAATTTCTTGACCACACAAAAAAAATCTTTCCTATAATATTACTTAATACTTGGTATATGAATAGTTACTTATATTACTATACCTACAGATAGAATTGAAAAATCAGAGATTTTCTTAGATTTTGTTAATAATCTTGGCTTTTGCGATGACGAAGTTTCATTGTCCTGGAGGGCGTGGCAGGCGCGACTTGTACCCGAAATTGAAATGGCACGATGTTCATCTTTGTGTAAGAAATAGCTGCTAGCAATCTATTTTTGTATCACACACCATTTTAATAGTTAGTTAAAATAATGTTAGTATTGATAATTGTTTAAACTGATGGGGATGATGGATAGATTAAAGTTTATTTAAAACAAAAATACTATACCCCACCTAAAACAGAGTTTTACTTTATAAAAATATATTTATTTAATAGTAGTTTAGTTTTTTAAGTGGTTTTGCTCATGTAGTTTGGTTTAAAAGAAATCCTAATCAATACTTTTTTGTAAAGGTCAAAAAGTTGAAGGTAGTTACGATGTGAAGAACTAAACAGTAGCGACATCGTACTGCTGTGGCTAAGAAACAGAGTTTCATTAAAGCGCCGAACGTAGGCTCCACGAGTCTAGTCTGGCCTGAAAATGTTGTATTAGTCTTCACGTAGATGGCGCCACTCGAATCCAGTGTGAAAGTATTATTAACTTTATGAACTCTGAGTGATGAGCAAGTACTTATCATGAAATTAAATTATGGAATCCTTATGTATTACTAATTCTGTTAGAAACCCCAAATATAAATATAATAATCTTTATACATAAACTACATAATTTAAATATTTAAATTATAAATAGCCCTATATGACTGAACTAAATTTAAACTAAAATTAAAATTAAAAATAACTAAAAACTGAAATATTTACACCCGTAAATTACATTAAAAATTAAACTACAGTTAAATAGGCTTATGTTTTGTAGGATGTATTGTTTATTGTTTTAAAGTTGCGTCTATGAGTGCTGGTAATGTTTATTTGTAAGGCTTTGCGTTTCACGCTCTTGCGATTAATACTACAACTATTATAATTTTGAATTAGAATTAATACAGATAAGAACATTATGTACTAACAATATGAAGTAACCCAGCACTAACAATGTGATGGTAGGTATACCATCTAATACACTCACTCATAACATAATTGGTGAAAAACGTATGTGTGCACCTTTATATAGATAGACGTTTTTCACCAATTATGTTATGAGTGAGTGTATTAGATGGTATACCTACAAGAAATTTTCGAGAAACCGATAACAGCCCAACAAACTGCTTTGTAACATAATAATGAATATCTCAATGTGTTGCTAAGCGCAAATCTCGAGAACCGCTGAATGGATTTAGCTACTTATTTTTTGTTGAGGTAATTATTGTGAGGTTATGATGTACGGAAAAAATAACAAACATTCGCATAATCATTTCCAAGACGAAACATATTTGGCGGGGTCCACCAGTGAATCACTACTGTATCGTAAAAATGATTCGTAAAAAAAAACTGGGTGCCATGTGTACGCGTACTTGTATGTTTGTAAACGCATCCACGACACAGGAGAAAATAATAGAGAGGGGCAACGTTTAAAAAAATGTTATTATTTCAAGGAGATAAAAAAGCAGTACCAATTTGTACATACGAACTAGTCTTTCTGGAGCTAACAGTCGTTTACACATTTATTAATGTCCTCGAAACATTTTAAATTTAAATTTCTAAGTGCGTTGCTTCCGTAATTTGAAATGAGTAACAAACCTATTCTGTCCTCATTCGTTCAATTCAATTCGAAATTTATTTTCTGAAAGGCTGCACGAGGGTGCTTTATTATTGACAGTAGCCTGCAATTGTGTGGCGGTTCTGTGACCACTTTCTATTCACCCTGAGCACCGTTCGCACCATTGGTATACCGTGCTGTTTAATATGTTATTGTTTTCATGCTAGCATTGGAAATGACTTTTGTACTTGATTGTCAAGGGTGGTCGATTGTTGCTCGTGTCTTGTATTTTCTTTTAAAACTTTTGATAACGTGATGGTATTAACTCGTCGAGTACCGGTTTTGTAGACACAATTATAGAACAATAGGTTGCGGTCACCGGTGACCGCTTGGTGTTTGACAGTTTAAATTAGGATAAGATGTAAAAATCTTCTATGATTAGAGATGACCTTAATAATATAATTAAGTTAATATTTTACTGGACCCGAACCGACCGATTAAATTTTCTAACGGTGGTGTCATACGTCTAAGATTTATTTACATTATCTTTGAGTAGTGCGTGATTACTTATTGTTACGAATTGAAGTGAGAGATAACTTAAAACTTATCTCTCTTTATTAAAATTTTATGCAAAGTTTGTTGTTGTTTGTAGCATATTTGGTTTATTTTAATTATTACATACAGTAGACATTATGTTTTAGGTTTATGACAACAACTACCTAGTACCTACTACACTTCGTTGAATTATTAAATAAATGTTGTATGATTTTTTCTATCTAATCCTTGGTTACGCTATTGAAGAACTTAACCAATATTTTATTATCACCCTTGTACACCCATACTTCGAAGTAATATTTCCAGACCTTGTCAGATGATTTCTTCTATAATAGGAAATATTGAAAACATCGACCTTCGTAAATTGACGTCAAAAGTATCTATTATTAATATAACCTACTTTTAGAATGGAGATCAATCATCGTTTAACACCAAGTTTACAATAGTTTTGTTTTTAGTTGCATTTTGTGATGTTTGCGAAACTGGGACCAAATTCTTTGGAATTTGTTGGACTATTACTAATTTGGTGGTATTTCATAATACAAGTTAGTGATTATACATGAGATATCGTAATTATGGATGATTGATAAAGTAGTGGTGGTAGAGCAGAATACATTTCGCGCGTCACCTTTGGGGTCCACGATGCGTCATTCCGTCATTCGTCAAAAACGATAGGCGGGTTTACCATTGCCGCTACGGTTTTTTAGTTTCTAAGCAAGATGCAAAGATGCAAACATCTGTCATTTGTAGTGCATGTCTGTCTATTGTTTGTAAATGATGAAAGAATGATACATGCATTCGTCAAATACCGCAATGTAGACAGTTACTCTTATCCTTGAAACGGATGTCGTGAGTGGGGTGGGTCACTATTAAGATAGTTTGTTGC